CCTTCCTTCCTTCCTTCCTTCCTTCCTTCCTTCCTTCCTTCCTTCCTGTCCCTGGTAGTCTCTAATCTACTTTCTATCTCTATGAATTTCCCTGTTCTACTGTTCTAGAGACTTCATACAAGTGGAATCACACAATATTTGTCCTTTTGTATCTTACATATTTTATTACCATAATGTCTTCAAAGTTCACTCTCACTGTAGCATGGCTCAGAACTTCATTAACTGACTAATATTCCTTTGTATGTGTATACCACATTTTGCATATTCATTCTTGATGTAACTTGGGTTGTTTCCCACATGTTGGCTATTGAGAATAATGTTGTGATGAAAACTGTCATACAAATATCTCTTTGAGTTCCTATTTCCAATTTTGGGGTATATATCTAGAAGTAGAATTGCTGGGTCAGATGGTAATGCTATGTTTAGCTTTTTGAGGAACTGCCAAACAGTTTTCCACAGTGGCTGCCCCACTTTACATTCCCACCAGCTTTGTACAAGAGTTCCAATTTCCCCACATCCTTGCCAACACTTGTTATTTTATATTTTAAAAACTATACCCATCTTAGTAAGTATTGTAGCTTTTTTTAAACATTAAAAACAAATTTATTTTAGAAATAAAGAGCATGAGCAGGGGAGGGGAGAGAGAGGGAAGGAGAGGGAGGGAGAGGGAGAGAGGGAAAAAGGAAAAGAGGGAGAGAGAGAGAGAGAGAGAGAGAGCCTGATGCAGTCTGATCCCACGACCCTAAGATCATAACCTGAGCTGAAATCAAGAGTTGGACACGCAACCGACCGAACACCCAGGCGCCCCTTCTTAGAGCTTTGATTTGCATTTTCCTAATGACTAATGACGTTAAGCATCTTTTCACCTATGGATTGGCCATTTGTATATCTTCTTTGGAGATATGTCTATTCAAATCTGTTGTCCATATTTGGGTTATCTTTTGTTGTTGAGTTTTAGCAGTTCTTTACGTATTCTGGATATTAAAACTTATCAGACTCCATTTTTAATTTAGATAAAATGTTTGGGGGAAATCTTCAATTCCCAAAATTATTCATGATACTGGCAATATTGAATATTTTACTTTCTGAAAATATTTAATTAATTGAATTTTCCAAATGAAATTCCTGTGCACTTAACTGCTAGTTCTCAAGAGAAAAGAGAAAATCATAGGAAAATTGGTACATTAGAATTGGCAAGTAGAAACTCCTTAAAAATTGGGAGTAATCCATAGTGACTTAAGAAAAGGGATAAATTAAAGACCTTTATTAAAAATAAAGAGACAATATGAATTATTATTAAGAGATAAACATGATGAGCTAATGACTTCAAACTAATGACTGCTTTCAAATGCTTAAAGGGCTATTATATAAAGATTCCTAACTTATCCACCTTCAGGGGAAAAAAGTTAGAGAAAAAAACATACTAACTTGCAATTGGAAAGCCTTCCAATTTGATACCAAGAAAAGGTTTTAATGACAAAATAATAATAATGCTTACTGATCACTACCATGTGTCAGACTCTGTTTTGAGCCCCACGTGATTAGTACTATTATCATCACAGCTGAACTTGGGCTTGAACCCATGGAGATCAATGCTGTGCCCAGGCTCTTATCCGCTATACTAAACCAGCTTTGTTAAAACTGGACTAATATTAGAACACCTTTCTCTCCTAAGAAAAGCCACTGCCTTTCTATCAGCAGAGAATTTCAAAATAGGATAGACATTTATCAGTCAAATGAAATTCATGATTCTTACACATTTGATGGTGTCAGTCTTCTAACTCTATTCAAACAGCAGTTTCTTTCTTACTGCTTTTCTTTTAGCAAAACAGTCTGGATCTACTCTTGCCTTCCTCCCTTTTCTAAAATGATCAGCAGGGTACTTTCAAATGTTTTGTAACATTACATAAATATCCTTTTAAATAATATGGACAAATGCCCAATGACACATGTTGTAGGAAAACATAATACCTTTTGTTTTCCCTTTTTAATCTTTGGGACTTTGTTTTAATAATTCATGGAGACATTAACCTTTCAGGTGGATTTGAAACTCCTTTTTATTTAATACAATTTTGTTTGTGTTCTGAAAACCCAAGGACATTGAAGTATTTATTCCCTGCTCAATAGATCACTGTGTACATGTATGTTTGTTTTCTCTGAAAACATCTCTTAACCTTCATACATCTCCTCAGGGCTTTTGTGTGTGGGCTTGCTACATATTGTTTCCCCTGTAAGAGGTAATGTGCCATGCTCCAACAGGTGTGCTGCTATTAACAATATCCCAATTTTCTTAACCTCCTCATTTCTCTCACATGATCATTTCCATGATACTCTTTCAGCTGAGTTAGAGAGAAAGCAAAAGGTAATTAATTTTTGTAATAGAAAACAAGAACTAAAATGGCAAGAATTTCACCTAAGAAATCACAAAGTATATTAGTGGCAGACCTGGAGCTCTAGCCCACATCTTCTGATTATAGCAGAGAGTTATGAGAAGTGGTTTTCACTTGGAGAGATTCTGTCTCATCTCCACAGGGTACACTTGGAAATGTCTGGAGACATTTTTAGTTGTCCAAAATGGGGAGGTGGTGCTACTGGCATCTAGCTGGTAGAGGCGAGAGATTCTGCTAAACAACCTACAAGGCATAGGATAGCTGCTCCAACAAAGAATTATCCAGCCCCAAATAGCAATGGTGCCACCGTTGAGAAGCTCTGTTTTAGAGTGATGGAAATTAGATTTGAACCCTCTGCATCTTATTTTGTGACCTTGGGAAAGTGGCTTCATTTTTCAGAATGTGCTTTCTCATCTGAAAGAACAAAACATCCACCACCATAAACAAACAAACCAAACCAACCAACCGACCAACTAAACAAACAAAACCCCCACTTTCCAGGGTAGTTGGGAGAGACCAACTCAAAAGCACTGAACAGAGTATGCTGTGTATATAATGGGCCCAACAAACATAAATCAGGGAATCCAATTATAAGAAAAGATGGAAGCGGAGTGTGCCAGAAAGACAACATCACTGAAATGAAAAAGAAGACTCCCTAGTTTCCTTTCAACTTTTATATAGAAAAGGGCAAAAGAGATGGAGAGAGGTACAAGATAATTAAACAGCATCAAGGACATATTAGGAGGAGAGGGGAAGAGATGGTAAGACTGGGAATAGAAAATTGTGAGAAGGCTGTACAGGTGAGAGAGATTTTAGCAGTGACCTGGAGATGAATTTGAGAGATATTTGGAGGGAGGAACCAGAAGAATTTTGTGAGTAATTAAGAAGGGTCATAAAAGGGGCACCTGTGTGACTCGATTAAGTGTCTGACTCTTGGTTTTGGCTCAGGTCATGAGCTCACCATTCCTGAGTTTGAGCCCCGTGTTGGGCTCTGCACTGGCAGCATGGAATCTTCTTGGAATTCTCTCTATCTCTCTCTCTCTCTGTCTCTCTCCTTCCCTCTCTCCCCCTCTCTCTGCTGCTCCCCTGCTTGTACTCTCCTCACCCCCCTCTCTCAAAATAAGTAAATAAATATTTAAAAAAAATTTTAAAGGGTCATAAGAGAGAGAGGTCCAGGATGAATATGAGATTTCCAACTTGGGTGCTTGGGTATTGGTGATGCCATTAAGCAATAAAATCAAAGAGCAGAGCAGATAATAAATTCATCTATAGATACTTCAAGTTTGAGAGGCCTGTGGCATATTTAAATGATAACCAAGAGGCAGTGAGATATGGAAATCTGGTGAGAAGCCAAATATTTGAGAGTCAGAAATCTGAAAATGGTAGATGAATCCCTGGGAGTGAATGAGATTTTCTAGGGAGAGCATATGGAGTAAGAAAAGAGCAGAGGACAGAGCTTTTACGAATTAGACAAAGAAAACTAAGATGGTACAATCAAGAGAATCAGAACAATAGAAAGAGAAGATAGAAACAATAGAAAGAAGATGATCCTGGATGTCAAGGCTCAAAGAGTTTCAAGAACACAAGAGCAGGCAACAGTATCATAGAAAAATTAAGTGAGATCCAGAGTGTCCAGAAGATTTGGCAGGTCAGTGGTAGTGCTAATTTTAGCATGCAATGATGAGCAGAAAAACTAGACTCAGTGAGTTGAAGAGTAAATGATAGTTGTAATAGTAGAAATAAGGGATAAAACTTAAGCACATTTATATGCTGAGATGAAGGAACCAGTGAAGGTTGAAGATACAGAAGCAGGGAAAATGGATAAATCAAGAGTGGGGTGTAGAGTTGGAATGATCATTTTGAGGCAAGATGAGGCTGACCCCTCCCTCTAAACTGTGTAGAGCATGTTAAGTTGGGCATTGATGTAAGTAGACCTGCAGGGGTGAGGAAACATGAGTTTGAAGAAGTTCATATCGGAGACCCTCACTTTTCACTATGGGACTGTAGGTGAGCTCAGTTGTTGGTATGGGATATGGGACACAGGACATGAGAGGAGCTGGGGGAAGGAAATAACCTTTAAGGATTGGGGAGGGGCATTAACAAACTAGAGAAAGTGAGTAGAGATTACAATTTCAAGAAGCTGGTATGTGAGGGGTATTTCAAGGTGCCAATGTCACCTTGGGATTCATATCTATTTTTTTTTTCTAGATCACTAACAGAACCCATCCATCCTTAGAAGCAATAAGCTGGAAGGATTTGTTTGAAAGTGAGATAGTGTGTGTGGGATCACCAACTAAATTCCAAACTTAACTGGGCAAGGAATCAATTACGTCTGTGGACCAACTGTGTCATCTCCTTGTATGAATGTGAGTCCTCAACAACCAGAGTTGAAATTCAACTTTATCGTCCATAATTCATAATCAAGTAAGACAGTGGAAATGATCAATAAAATGAAAATAAATGAATCTTGATGCAATTGTTTTCTTTTGCAGAATCTTACCTTCTTTTGAGCCTAAGTCATGAGTTGGATGTTCCTCAGAGACCTCCTAACTGGAGTAAATAAATACTCAACCGGAATTGGGCGGATTTGGCTGGCTGTTGTGTTCATCTTCCGTTTGCTGGTCTACATGGTGGCAGCAGAGCATGTGTGGAAAGATGAGCAGAAAGAGTTTGAGTGCAACATTAAACAGCCTGGTTGCGAAAATGTGTGTTTTGATCACTTCTTCCCCATTTCCCAGGTCAGACTTTGGGCCTTACAGCTGATCATGGTCTCTATGCCTTCACTTCTTGTGGTTCTACATGTAGCCTGTTGTGACAGTAGAGAGAAAAGGCACAGAAAGAAACTCTATGTCAGCCTAGGTGTGATGGATGGGGGTCTGTGGTACACTTACCTGATCAGTCTCATTGTTAAAACTGGTTTTGAAATTGGCTTCCTGGTTTTATTTTACAAGCTGTATGATGGCTTTAGTGTTCCGTACCTTATGAAGTGTGATTTGAAGCCTTGTCCCAACACTGTGGACTGCTTCATATCCAAACCCACCGAGAAAACAATCTTCATCTTCTTCTTGGTTATTGCCTCATGCCTGTGCATTGTGTTGAATTTCACTGAACTGAGCTTTTTGGTTCTCAAGTGCCTTATTAAGTGCTATCTCCAAAAACACTCTAAGACACTCAAGTCTTCAGTGTGTGAGTGCCACAACCTCAGATATGTTGAATGTGGTGGGATAGGGGCTCCTCCCCTGCTCCAGAATTGCCACTCAGACTCAGCTATAAGCACACTGCACACCCCTGAACCCCCTCCTTCCCGAGGTAAAACAAAACTGCTTTGTGATACACAAGAGGGTTGGCAAGGAGAATCTGCATCCTTCCTAAGCAAGACTTAAGCTGTGTTGGAAAGCAAAGGGTGTCAGGCTTAATGTCATTTGGGAAAATTTTTTAAAAAATTTTCAGTATGTGCTCAGTTGTACACACTAGACAGAGATCTCATTGTCATAGGGTTCAAGTGGATATGTGAGTTGTGTTAAAATAGTTAATTGCAAATTAGTCTGAAAAAATCCAGTGAACGGCATTCTCTTAAATGCTTAGATCTGTCACCTGGAAAATATAGAAAGTGACATTTCTGACAAACGTGATGGCTTCCAAGCTGAGGTTGAGGCATTGGCAATCTTTCCAAAGTGGCAGCCAAGGCTCCCCTCACTCAGCTCTACACAATCTTTGCAGAGAAAGAGCATGGTGAGGGCACAGTAGCAGGTAGCTAAGGCAAACAGAAGCACACTCAGTGAGAAGGCCTGGCCTGGGGAAATGACCACAGAGCCCAGGCCTCTGCAGTTTAGGTCTCCCTGGATATAAATGGACTAGGGGGGAGGGAAGAAAGCCATAATTTGTGGTTTCCAAGTTAATACAAATATTACTGGGGACATGTCCCACTTAAGCCTGAACCTAGCAGATACCTGAAAGGGTCACTCCAGTCATACCAGAAGGCAGGTCCCACCAACTACACAGACAGGGAGCAGGTAGGACCCAGAAAAGGAACATACCCACTTGATAATTACTTAACCCTTCTCTTTTAACCACTGAACATTGAATACTTTGTAAATTTCTGTATTTATTGGACCTTTTTATGATCAGGAATTCACAGTGTGTTATACAATATGTCATAGTTTGCCTACAATTTTCTAGTACATCTCTCTCTAGAATGGATGATAAAATGTGTACTATGCTGTTACATTGGTTTGAAAAATGTAAAAAAAAATAAGGATGCTTATTATTACTTTATTTGGAGCCTAGCTCTTTCTTATTTTTTAAAAAATCATATATTATCTTTGTATTTAACACTCTAACAGACGTGCATTTCTCTAGAATAAAAATGCAGTGGTTTTGTTGTGTTATTTGGCTGTCCTTGATATTGTTACTTGACTGCACGGGTACAATTACTCTGTGAAATAAAACTTTTCTGACAATTTTAGAGCAGGACTTGCAGCCCTGCTTGATAAAAATAGTTCAGAAATCATTCTTGTCCACTGGGAATTTTTTTAATGAGAAATCAGTGCATAAAAATGTAATTTTAACTGAAACTGATTATGTCATGTCTTCCATGGCCCTGCCCTCTTCAGCATAAAGTCACTACAATTCATGCAGGTTTTCCCCTTCTTTCAATTTATATCCCAGATCCCTCACTGCTGCACTCCTGAGCTTACATTCATTTGACATGAAAACAGCCAATCTTTGCAAATGCAGGTAACCACTAAAGGATTTAAAGGAATATAAACACATGTTTTTGACAGTGATGGGGGTTAAAGAGGTTTGAGATTTTTGAGGCCTTCATCATGGCATAAAATCTAGAAAATAGGATTTTAGTGCACAGAAATGAAATGGAGGCAAGATGATTTTTCCCTTTAAGTTTGTAGCCAAAAATATTTTTGAGGAGCTCAGACTTCACATCAGCTATGACCAGTGCTGCTGTAGGGAAAAGGATTGGTGGGACATGTGCATTTTTTGCTCTTTCCACTTTGCATTAAGAGGAAATGACGAGGTAATGGGAGCAAGAGCTGTGAATGAAGTTGTTTAGACAGGAAGGGGAATGATTTTTTCCCCTTTAAGCTTAGTTTATAAAATGAGTTTCCTATAAGAATACTCTGGAGGTTGTCTTGGCATCAGTGAGGACCCAAAGCATTTGATTGAGAGAAACTGGCATTTAAATTTGGCATCTTTAGCCTCTTATCAATAAATTGATTTTTATTGAGCTATGATCAGCAGGAACAAGACACTGCATTATGCACCTTCAGAGATATATAATTCCGGCTGTAAGAAAATTTCTACTTTCATGCGGGAGCCTGGATGTTAAGATGGGGTGGAGTATCTTGCACTGGTCCTCACTGGTCACCTCACTTGACCTGACTCCCCCACACAACATTGGTGCTCAGAGAGCAGACATTAACCTTAGAGATGAAGAAGGTAAGACCCAAAAATTCAGTCCCTTTTTTCAGGGATATTCATCCAGTAAAAGCCGAGTTACCAATCAACCATAGTTCTTTCTTAAACCTTCCTCACCTCATTGGGCTTCCCAGATCACTGAACAGGTGTCTTCTTAATTTCATTCAAGCCATTCCTGGCCGGCAGTTGGCTCTCTAGGACTTATCCCCCAAATCTTTCCTGTTAAGACACTGTCTGTGGTCACAAGGTTTCGTCTCAATGGAGCTGGAAGGAAATTTTTTTCAGTATTGTATGAAAGAATGCCTAGGGTTGCAAGTAGCTATGGTTCCAGTCTTCCCAAGGAAATTTAACAAAGATAGCTTAAGACAGAAAGACTGCAAAGTTAAGAGAAGGGGGAAAAGGCAAAGACCTGAGAATGTTTGAATTTTTAATTCCTGCTGTCTCTGACACAGGCCCCCCCCCCATCCTTTCTGTAGTTTAGTTACATGAATGATAAATTCCCCATTTTTGCTTAAACTGGCTTAAATAGGGTTTCTGTATCTTGCAACTGAAAGAATCCTGATAACACCATGTTTTTCATATGTTTCTTTCCAGTACAGTGTAAAAAGGCGGGGGGTGGGGGATGGGAGGACACTTCTCTTGTACTTACTCTTTCTTTTTTAGGTTAGGCATGGAGTATCCTAACTTTTACACGTGGCTACGTATAGAATGTGTGAGTAGGGGGAGAGATGTGGAAGGATCTCAACATTGGTTACAATAAGAGGAGAGTGAATTTTTTCTTTATAAATCTTTTCATTGTTTCATGTTATTTTTGTTCTTAAAATTTTAATAAAGAAGTCAATTAAAAGCCCAAACTGGGGGCACCTGGGTGGCGCAGTCGGTTAAGTGTCTGACTTCAGCCAGGTCACGATCTCGCGGTCCGTGAGTTCGAGCCCCGCGTCAGGCTCTGGGCTGATGGCTCGGAGCCTGGAGCCTGTTTCCGATTCTGTGTCTCCCTCTCTCTCTGCCCCTCCCCCGTTCATGCTCTGTCTCTCTCTGTCCCAAAAATAAATAAACGTTGAAAAAAAAATTAAAAAAAAAAAAAAAAGCCCAAACTGCCCTGTCCCTCCTTTTTCTATCTCACATCCCATCATATGCATAGAACACTTGCCTTAGATATTGATGCCAATTTATTCCTAGTTTACATTTTATTTTGTTTGTATATTTAATACTGCACACAGTACAAAAGAGAGGGCATGTCACAATTCTGTAAAAAAAAAAAAAAAAAAAGTGGTGAGGAAAGAAAGAACCAGTGGTGGGGCATGTAAAGGCAAAAAGTGTTAGCATTCCTTTGAATTTTATGACAAAGTCTGAAGGGACAGATATGTTCTGGGAGAAACTTACCAGAAGCTGTCTCTTTAAGTTTTTTCTCACAGAGCAAATCTTCCTTCAGCTGTAAAAGACAATGGTTTGTGGGGAGTTTTGAAAATTTTCACAGACCTATCCTGTTTCTACTATGTCAGAAAGTCTTAATAAACAATTCTAAGATGATAAAGATTATCTTTAAAAATGCTGTAATGTATCCATATATTCTGTTTGAAAGTAAAATGAGTTCTGGATGTTACCCAAATAGGTCAACATTCCCACCTACTTATAGTTGAAGTATCTGATCCTTCCCCAACTATGGAGATTTAATTTTCTTCTAAAAAGGAAAAGGAAAAATGTTGTTCAGAGAAAAACAGTATTTGGAACTTCTGTTAATTTATTTTTGTCTCGAAATTTTTTCAGACATTAATGCTTTCTGTCAGAGGTGGACAGATGGCTGTGGTATAGAATTGTCTGTACAGAATAACAGGAAATTGAAGAAGTAGACTCCAGTTTTCTATCCTTTAAAAAGATCACTATTGGACTCTGCTCAGTAGATTGGGTCCAGAAGAGACAAATATTAAATGATCCCATTTTCACATTCTTGCTATAAAAATGTCTAACTAAATTTGATCATGAGTCCCCTGTGAGTGTTAGTCATTAGGTGAACCAAGTGCTTTCATTTATAAAGCATTTATTGCAAAGGAGAGTCAGTGCAGTAACTTGAGATTTGACTTTCTATGGAAGATTAGCAAATATGATAAACTGATATTCTGGAGAAAATGCCTTCTAATCACATTTGATGATGACATTAAAAACTTACTGTGGCTAAAATGAAAGATTGTCTTACTAATCTTTCCATATCCTGTATCCCCACAGTTTAGGTCTCTGGCATTTAGGAGCTCAGTTTCTTGGAAAAATATCTGTTCCTCTCCTTCTTCCTTCTTTTGCCTACCCAACATTTACCCTTCTTCACCTAAAAGAATTCTGACTTTGTTGGAGGTGGCAATGTCCCCAGCTAAAAAGTCACATTTCCAGGTCTCCTTTGCATGTAAACGTAGCAGTGTGAAATCTTGTCAAGACAAGATTTTTTGACTGATGCTTTGGGGAAAGTTAAAAAGTGGGCCTGACCTGGCTTGCATGCATCTTTGTGCCCCCCAACCCCTTCCTGCCTAAGACATCATGGCTAGAGCTGCAGTAAACATCTTTCTACCATGAGATACTTTCAAGATGGAAGTATAACCTTATGGATGAAGGAGCAGAGACAGCTCCTGGAACTTTGATGCCATCAGGGAGTTGCTGTATCAGCTCTGAACTGCCTATCTCCATGCTTTTGTTTTCGTTGTTGTTATGTGAGAGATAACTCCTACCTGATGTAAGCTATTGCCTTGTTGGGCTTCTTTACTTATAGCCAAAAATAGTTCCTGACTACTTTCATGTGAGTGATTAGGATGAAAACACAGAAGGTGTGCTTGTATCTACTGAAGACAAAAGAGATGACCTGGATATTGAATGGCAGAAATAAAACATGATTAAAAATCTCAGAATTTTTTTCAGAACGAGTCAGTTGAAATGGAACAAGTAGTCATTCTGCATCGATTTAAAATTTTAATATGAGACAAAGATTTAGTTCACGACATAAAGTCCTTGGAATTTAAGCTTACACCTTACAAATGAGCAAATGTGTAAGTATTAGACTATTGAAAAAAAGTTAATCTTGTGTTGGAAATGTGTCCAGACTATAGGGAATGATTTTCCCAATGCTTGATAGAGAAATAGCTTATTATATGTCCCAATGTTTCAGAACCAGGACTAATTGGTAAACATCAAAGAGATGAAGATTTTTACCTAATAGAGAAGTATTCTATTAATTTGAACTGCCTCAAAATGAAATGATTGCCCAATAAAGTAGTGAAAACCTTAACATTGAAAGAGATGATCAAAAATATTCCTGGATTGTATGGCAGGTGTAATAGCTAGATGACCTCCAAATTTCCTTTTCTCTCTCCAAGATTCTATAGTTCTCAGACTTAGAACATATACTGGGTAATGGCAAAATGAGACTTTGTATTGGTTATCTCACTATATAAACTTGATACCATAGAAAAATCTCTGATTAATCATCTTTAAAATACAAATTTCATGTACAATAAGACAACTCATTAAACAATTTAGGCAATTCCAAAGAACTGATTATAACAAGATTTATTTTCTGTACAATCATGTGACATGTAAAGTACTTAATATTTTCTGTAGTTTCATTATTTTCTCCATCTTGAAAAGTCTAATTTTATTTCAAGGCTTGGATCAAATATTTCTATCGGAGAGCATTTTTAAAAATGTAAAATGGGGATAAATAATACCTATGCCATAGCTTGTTGACCAGATTAAATGAGAGGATCCTTGCAAAGCACTGATACATGGAGGTTATTTTTTTCAATTTTAGATATTACAATTAACATTACATGGCTTTATTATCACTTATTCCTATATAATTTGCTTGTGCATTTGTACCTCCCTCTAAATTATGAGCATATTAAATGTGGGCAAGAACCATGTCCTTTACCATTATACCCTTGAGGTTTAATCCACAGTAGCTGCTCAGCAAAGATTAAAGTATCCATGAATCTTACAGCCTAACTATGTTGTATGAACTGAAAAATCATGGTATTCTGGAATACCAAGGTTTAAGAAATCCTTAAAATGCTTATAAGGAGACTATAACTCACAATGATAAAGTGACTCGCCTAATGTTACATGAAGTGATGGAGTAAGAATTCAGGGTTTGTTTTTTTTTTTTAATGTTTACTTTTGAGAGAGAGTGCATGTGAGCAAGCAGAGGAGGTGCAGAGAGAGAGGGAGACAGAGGATCCAAAGTAGGCTATGCATTGACATCAGAGAGCCCAATGCAGGGCTTGAACTCATGAATTGTAAAATCATGCATGACCTGAGCTTAAGCCACTGAACCATCCAGGTGCCCCAAGAATTCAGGTGTTTTTTTTTTGTTTGTTTGTTTGTTTTTTTTACTCCAAATCTAGTCTTCCACAAGTTTTCTGTACAAAATTGTTCCAAAGTCCCAGTTTTTGGCACCAAAATAAAAAAGATATTTGGAATATTGGTATCCCACATAATAACCAACTGCATTACACTCAGTTGTTTTTTGTTGTATTTTTACCTTATTAGTCAACTAAATTCTGATTTGGTTGGGAGTGACAATGTGCCCAGCTAAAAAAAAAATGTACATTTCCAAGTCTCCTTTGCATGTAGAGGTAGCAGCACGACTACCTTGTTGTCAAAACAAGATTTTCTCATGCTTTGGGGAAAGTTAAAATATGTATAATACATGCAATATTACTGTAGCATGTTTCCATTATAAATGGTGGTCTATTAAAACGTACACATCATAGTTACTTCCCAATTTTTAGACTTCAGTTAACTGTTCAATTTATCATAAATATTCAAAAATATAAATGACACACCACATCTTAGCCCCTGTGTTAGCTTGTAACAAATAAAAAGTAATGGAAAAGTAATTTTTGGTTCCATTTCCAGACCTCAGCTCTATACCACATCTCCTATGTTAGCTTGCCATCTTGTGGCCTCTTACTCCTGTGCAACTCAGTATCAGACCACCACACACTCACACATCCACTTTTTAACTTGTCTTATATGCAGCACGTAAGTCAGGTGCACATCCGATTTCACTCCCAGACCAATTTCATTCCAGCAAAAGTTGACAAACCTACAGTCAGAAAGACAAATGCTGACAGCTACAAGTAAAGTGAATCACCTAATCAAAAAAATATGCTCTGAGAGACAAGTACTTAAAAAACATCTGAGTATTTATTGAACAGAACATGCATACGTTTGCTGAAAAGGGGTGTACGTAACTTTTTTGGTGAAATCAGTATGAACACGGCCTCTGATAAAGATGTAGAAGCAAGGTAGTAACAGGATTTAAATGTAGATTTTACCAAATCAGAATGGTGACATGGTCTTTCTTTCCACTCTGACAGAACTATACAATCTCCAATGTTTGCTTTCTCCGTTGAAGGTATACATATGTGTGTGTGTATGCACATATATTCCATAGTGACTACGATTTAAATCCTCCTTCAAGCAGTATTCTAGGTTTAATCTCAGAACACACAGGTCTCTCGGAATAGAGGAATCAGGTGGGGTTATGAGTAAAAACCGTGACAGTTATCTCCAATACCAGCTACTTCCTTTCTATAGTTGTGATTAAATGAATTGACATATAATGAACTCAGAGGTCTGACACATATATGATCTATTGCCCTTATGATATAGATAAAGCCAGACTTCAGTCTTTGGCTTCCCAAGCCTCCTTCCCTGCTCAGCACTCCAACTGTTGCTCTACATACTGCCCAATTCAATGTACCAAAGACCTGAAGACTCTGCCAGATGGAGCACGTCTCTGTCCTTTGCTTCAGTGTTGTATTTCTGAGAAAAGCTGCCTACACAGATGCTATAGCTTGGCCAGTGAAAAGGGAAAGAAAATAAAAACTGTATCCTGGCCATAGGATACTGGGCTCCTGCCTACAGTTTTAAAATACAAATTCGGATTTTCTCTCATTGTCAGGAATACTGACAACTAAAATCTGAATGATTACACACAACCCACCACATTTTGTGGTGGAAAGATTCACACCATTCTGGATGTTTCTGGTCTTTTCTGGATATTCATATAGAACATTCTGGATGTTTCTGGTCTTTTCACTTCTAGCAGAACAGCTGTTGCCTTTCATACTTCTGGCTCATCAACTTTGGTTGGGGAGCTGGTGTAGGATCAAGCTTTTACTGGAATAAACTAGAATTGCTTCAGTTTCTCATTTTATACTGGTAACATATAGACTACATTTAAACAAAAACTATTTTTAAAGTGTAAGACATCAACATATGCCACGACATGTGACAGAACTCATAATTCTGCCTTATTTACTCATAAGTATATTGCACTGCCTTCCACATTTGCAGTAAAATTTTTCACTATAAAATCCTGACCTTCTCCACATTCATCCTTCTGCTTTGAAATGGCAATACTTTCAGCATCAGGAGAGTAGAGAAAGCATTCTAAGAGAGGGGTCAGACCTATTTTATAGGTTGGTTGTTACAAGTCATTACATTTCCCCATACATCACTGTCCTCATCTATAAAATGGGATTGCTACTTTTTCTATTCCTCTCATGGGGCAGGGCTCATTTGAGAATTCCATTTTA